ATTTCACTTCCACAAAAAAATGTTTTAAAGTAGTGGACAATGTTTTCTGACTTTAATGTGTTACACAAGCCTTATCATGGATAGACTATAAACACACAATATTTATATTCATAGGTGAGTCTTTGACGGTATGAGTACGAAATTTTCAAAACTTTAAATAATTGATTATTAATTTTAATTGATTTTAACGTGCTAAAATAAGTCTTTTTACATATTGCAAAAATCTGAAAATGTCTTGCCAAAATGTTCTTGCACAACTACTGTAATGTGCTGTGGTGTGTAACTACTGTAATATGCAACTAGTATATGCTGTGGAAGCCATAAGTATTTCATAAAACTATATGTGTAATGTTCTGGTAATGCAATATGTGTCTGCAAATTATTGGTAGCCAGCGATAAATATATCACAAGTGAAAAGTTAAACAAAACATCGTATAAAAACACTTTAAATGTCGCTAATGATCTGGTTGATGCAACAATAAATCAATTAATTATAAGTATTGAAGAAATCGACATATAATAATGAACGTCGAAGTAACACTAATGTTATACATGCGTTTTATGGAATTCATTTCTGACCGTTTACTTTAATATAATTGTCAATAATCAATTAATAGTAGTAAGTAGTAAGAAAAGAATTGCATGCTTTAGTTTTTTCATTAATATAATATGTCTTTTGATAATTTTGTTCCAGTCAGAAAGTAGTATATTTGATATTTTCTTAATTATTCCGTTTCCTAAATTGCTTTCAGGTGTCTATTAATATAATATATCTTTAGAAGTGAGAATTGAATAGGAAATTAGAAGTCGAATAATATACAAATATGTATTAAATACTCCAGCAAGCTTCAGATGTTTGAAAAATTGTCAGGGGCTTAATGAGTTCGACACTCCTGCTCAAATCAGTATTTTTTTGCATAGGCATCACCTCAAGATGTTCTACGTGCTCTGCTTCTTAATACCCACTGTGGTGCCTGTTTATTTCTGGAACGAGGACTGGATGGCTTCTTTCTGCGCGTGCATGGCGAGATGGGTAATCGGAGTCAATTTCGTGTGGAGTGTGAACAGCGCGGCTCATCTCTACGGAGGACATCCTTTCAACAAGTGAGTACTGCTGTTGTTGAATCACGCTTTGAAAGAGTCAAACCGAATAACTCAATAAATAAACAAAAATACAGGGATGGACCTTGGGAAACAAATCATTAAATACAAACGAAAATCAAAGTTTATGATTTAGATTGTTTTATTCCATAACATACGGAATAAAATAAATCTATGTATTAAGAAATTAAAGCAAAGTAAGATCTAAGCTTTGGTTTCTTACTGTCTTGTTGAATGACTTAGGTCTAAAAGAGTTATTACTGCTATTTGATTTGAAAAATTAATCTGAGAACTGTAAGAACAACATTCATCATATAATAATAATAATAATAATAATAATAATAATAATAATAATAATAATAATAATAATAATAGTAAGAAGAAGAAGAAGAAAAATAACAATAATGCGGATCCAAATAGCCGAGATCGCCAAGGCACTAATGCGTAGTGGTCTTGGACGGAAGGATCGTGGAGTCCTGCCTCGGGCATGGTTGTATTTGTGTCTGTATGTTTGTGATTGTCGTTTTCATCATCATCCCCCAGGGCTAACAACCCGGGTGTAAAAACAGATTCAGTATGAAATGGCTAATGCTCCCTATAAAAGTCAAGGGCACCTACTCTCGATAAAAAAAATTAAAAATTCATGGTTACCCTGAGTAATTCATAATGATTATCATAATAGTAAATATTAGTCAAGACAAAAGTAATTGAATAATGTGGAAAAGATATAATTCAAACTGGAATGCGACATTAATGCTAGAAAATAAAAATGAAATAAATCTATAAAAACTAAACTTGAATGTGTCATTGAACTTTGACGGCTTGCAGTGACATAGTTGCTGCTCTGGCAAAGGTATCAAAACCGCTACAGCTGCAAAATTCCACGAGACCAGAAACTTCGATGCTCTGAATGAGCATTCTGATTCGCAGTGGAGGTGCCTTGGAAACCCATACAAAGTGTTTCTTGACTGGCACAATTGTGAAAATTATTTTACACGCTAATGTAAATTGTTATATTTATTTCATTTAATGGAAAAAAGTAAAATAACTGAGAATAGAGGAGAAGTCTGGACATTAACATAATATACAAATATGTATTAAATACTCCAGTAAGCTTCAGATGTTTGAAAAATTGTCAGGGGCTTAATGAGTTCGACACTCCTGCTCAAATCAGTCTTTTTTTGCATAGGCATCACCTCAAGAAGTATTAAATGTTGAGAGTGAAAATTTAACTCACGATTAAAGAAATAAGTTCTCATTCCAACATCAAATATGTATAATTTAATTGCTTCTTTAGCTAATTCAAGATACGTACGCAAGTGATGCATAACATTCCTATTTAAAGTTATTTTATTCCCTTTAGCGATGCTGCGGGAATGTAAGTTTTCCAGTTAATTCTTTCTTTATTTTTTCGTATATAACGTATTTAAGACGTAAAAATGCATAAATGTACATAATGCAAAAAATATATAAATATGTGTGATATATCCGTCAGAGTATTTTGTAGAAACATTTTAATGCAGAAACGCTATAAGAATCCACCTTTAAAGAACATGGTTGACAAATTTCAAATAGACCCTACATTATATTCTTCTCGATATTTCAGTTTAAGTAAGGCAATGTTGAATTATGTTTCTTTTGTCATTGTGCATCTTACACAAAACTATAAATATAATAAATAAATAAAATATGATTAAATAATAACTCCAAATAACTCTCATGTTTAATCTGTGTTACATAAACTTAGTGAAAGAAATAATTATTCATGAATTATTAAAAATAAAACTTCACAAGTTATTGACTATAAATAAAATTGTATTATCGTTAAACACTTCAGTAAGTTGAAGTATAACTTTGAAATTAAGTTTTCATTTATAATATTTTACTATGCTAAATCCTACGAAAGTTATGTATTGAGAACTTAAGGAAATGTAGAATTTACGTTGACTGGATTTTTAGGAGTAAGCAAAACTTATTTCAAGAAGAGAAACATTTTTGTTGAAAAACATGGTGAGAAAAAGAAACTTATATTAATCAACTTTAGTTTAGTATTATTTTTAGAAAAGGTCCGGACCATTAGGGAAACTGAAATTAGGGAGTGGGAAAACAGCACTGGTTAGCTTGAGCGGAGCCTAGACTGGAGAGAAATAAATAAGTCAATAAGCTAACAATAAGTACGTAATTTTATGTTAAGTTAGTAAACAGTCAGTAAACAGAAATAAGTCATAAGTCGTAGTCAATTGGTAAATAACTGGTCAATACAATAAATAAAATAAAACTGGCATAGTAATAAGCACATTAGGGGGTGAAGGAAAGGGGGGATCGAAAATGTAAGGGCAGAGGCGTTGGTGCGGACGATCTTCTGTGGCGCCGTTTGGTTTCAGGTGCTGAGGAGGCCAAGCACTGGAAGGAGACGGCGGGACGCCCGCGCCAGGAAATAAAATAGCTAAAATAAACTTCAGATAGATTAGAATGTACTCGGCTTCTGACGGCAGGTTTTTCCCCCTTCAGGGGTTTTTTTCCTGAGCCGTACCTTGTGGTCTCTTTTCCGCGGCTTTGATGCGATGGAGAGACCATTTGGGGTGAATACCAGAATTCGAAAGATTAGAACGCGAAAGGATGTAGGTATTGTAATGGCTTAAAGGCCTTCGGCCTAGCCACATAGGATCAAGTAATCTAATTCGTTTGTAATAATTACCTATTAAATAAATAAAATAATTATTCCAATTTCATTGAATTAATCAATGACAAGTAGTATTTGTATTTTAAAGATCTTTCTTTTACAATCATTAAAACTTTCCAAGCACATCTTTTCGACGTTTGGTATTCTAAGTGCTGCAAGTCTTCATCATTAATTTGAGCAATTTCAAACCAGGATCTTGTCGTTTTTCTTTTTCAACACCTTATGTCATAAGATATTTTCTGATGTGATTTGCTTGCCTGGCCTATTTAAATACGTTCTGTTAATGTGTTTTTGAGATCTATTTTTCTCGCTTAATAGCTTAATTTGTATTTTTTGTCTTCTTGAAGTTCTCGTTATTTGTCACCAGAGTGACATTTTTGTCAGTTGCTGTCATTAGTTACTAATTGATTTTGAATACCTGAAGTATTTTAGAACATGAGCCCGAGCGGTCCTTCCCTCCTCGATTAATGTTGACGTAGAAGCTTGACAACAAGGAAGTGAAATAAATTTAAGAATTAAAAAAATAATTTGATTATTAAATTGTAAATTTCGTTTGTTTCAATACTATAAACTCGATTACAGATAAAAGTTGAAATATTATTGACAAAATTGAACTGAAACACAACATCTCAACTAACCATGCAAATTGTAGATGTGCTACTTAACACCACATACATGATGGAGACATCGAAATGAACTAGTAGTGTTTATATGAAGTCTCTTAAAAAATTATCTTTTAATCAGTTACATAAAAATAGTAATTTCACAATAGTTTCGGACATACTACTATCGATGACTGTCACAACTATTGCCTGCATATTTATTTAAAACGGAATTCAACGGTTACTAATGAGACATAGTTATACATTTATTACGACTAGAATGTTGCCTTTAATTAAGCTAGTACAACGTATTGGTAAATAAAAGTCATATAAGTTCAATCTATAACAGACAACTAGGTTATGCAATTACCCTTATACCAACAGATGAGTTAACGAGTCTAGTAAAACATATTATACAACTTAATGAGAGAACATCACAATTTACATTTCATTTTACTTCATAAATTACAGAATTGTTAAATGAAGAATTTCTAACATCCACATACGCATATACCAAGCTCTCAAATGTTTAGCCCGCTTTTCAGCGCTTTACTTGTTTTGGACATTAAGACATAATTCTCCTTCTTAATACATTACAACACGCTTCTTTCCAGATACATCAACCCAGCTGACAATAGGTTCGTGTCCTTCATGTGCATGGGCGAAGGCTGGCACAACTACCACCATGTTTTCCCCTGGGACTACAAAGCGTCGGAGTACGGCCACCTCAACACCACCATGCACATCATCAAGCTGTTCGAGCGCATTGGTTGGGCGTACGACCTGAAGACGGCGCCCTCGTCGCTGGTGCGGCGGGTGGCGACGCGCTACGGCGACGGCTCGCACCCGGAATGGGCGGCCTACGCGCCCGAGATCCCCGAGGAGGCCGCCAAAGACCACTCCGTGGTTGACAGGCTTCTGCCCCCGCTGCACGCCGCCGACGGCGACAAAAAGGCGGCCTAGAGCGCTGGGGCCGGCAGGGGGCCAGACGGGGCCCAAGGGCTCTCTCAAATGATACATTTCTATTGCATCGGGGAGAGGGGGTTAAAGTACTTATTGTCCGATTTCAACATAGGGACTTCTGACAGATCATCAGCTGGACGCGATTATTCAATCAGGAGCTTTGTTACGTCTTTAATTTTTGGTATTCAAGACCCCGATTGGATAACTGCGTTACAGCTGATAATCTCTCACAAGTTACTATGATTTAAATCGGACAATAGGGACCACCAATTCTGAAGTTGGCACACCAATCTTTCTCCCATTAATATCTTGCATTATTTAGATACAACCCCTATCTTCCTAAATCCCATTGAAATCTTGTGAAATAGCACCATTCATCTATAAAAGCGTTCTATCGTCATTTCCACTCATTCATTTAATCACTTATCACCGCAATCGTCTTTCTTCACCAACGCTTTTGTCTGATTTTTCGCCAGAACATTTTTTTTTTCATTTTCCATTTTCGAACATTAAGTACGTCTCGGGCACCACAAGATCTAGCCAGGTCTCTGTAGGCATAAAATGGGCTTCGTGATGTACAGCGTTTGAGACCAAAGATAAACTATATTTTTGTAAATGTCTCCCCATGTAATGGGACTGCCAAATGAAAAATTAAAAATATGGCATTTCTTATTTGTCCTTTAAGTTCCCGTCACTGAATTTATTTAGGACATGGATGGATCCAGAAAGTATTTCAGAGGTTGGCAACGGCAGCCTACCCGTGAAATAGTGAAAAACGAAATAAAAATAATATTAAAAATGTTAGCTTGAAAGATCCCTTTAAGGGTTAGGTAATCTTTTCTACTGAAAAAATCCATTTGTACTCCAACGCTGTATTTTGTATTTCTTCTATTCCTTACATCTGAAATTTACTTGCATTTTTGACACAAGAGTTATTTCATCCGGACATAATATTTCACATTATTTTGGGGTAACTGATAATTGGTTTTGAAGGCGTTACTTTTGAAATAATGAGATTTGTTGAAAGGTATCACAAAAATCAATAAACATTTGTTTGAGATGTAGCGTTGTATCAACTTATCTACTTGACACTCTACGTTAATTTCTTGCAATATAATAACATGCCATGTTTCCATATCTATATTTTTGTAAACTATAGTGATAGAATCATGTACAAAAATATATTTTTAAGAAATTACATAAGAATTGAAAAAAATTAAAGGTATCAGGGAATAAAGAGAATGTCATACTGTATATTCAATAATCGTGCATTTCAATAATTATGATGTATCGATTTGTCTTCTGCACTATCATTAAATATTATAATTGATTTTAATACTTAATGCAACCATTTGGCAGTGGATCGGGATCTTAAATTTTCACGAATGTGAAGGAATAAAATAAAAGACTTTTGAAGATTATAATTAATTTCTGAATGCGAACTCTATTAACCAAAAAACCTCTGATAGAATAAGACATTGGAATTTTTTGCCGTTGCATTACATTTGAAATTTCTGGAATAAAATTATTATGATTCACGAAGTACGAGTATACACAACTAAGAGGCTTAAAAGTCCTTTGCAAATACCAAACAAGTGTTAATAACATTTGTACACCAGTTTCTATTTGAGGTCGGGGAATGTTAATGGGTGAGAGAGGCCGGATCAACGATAATGATCAATTACTAGTTATAATAATTATAATTTATTGTTACTAATATTGTTACTTCAAGTTGCATTAAAATGTGTAATATCTTGCTGTTACTGTATACCACAGCATGAATATATTTTAATGTACAAGAATATAAATATATGTACAAAAATTGGTTAATGTAATTGTCTTAAAAATAAAAATAAAATCATAACACATAATTTTTGGTGATGAATCATTTGGCCATTGCTATAAATGACAATAATGTACTGAACCAAGCCCTCACCTCTAGTAGATCTGCATGTAAAAAAATATAGCTAATGTTAAAGTAAATGGAATGTACAGGTACCTTTGAGCGGCTCCAAAATGACAATGGATTCGGCAATTAAATGATAATTCTAACCAAGCTCCGTTTTCAGAATAGTTGGAGCTTTTCAATCGGAAGCAGGCACGTAGATGCTCTATGTAAAGCATATCACAGGTTGTTTTCGCTTTTAAATGTAAATTTTACAGGAATTATAGGTACTCCGTGCATTGGCTGAAAAATATTACTTATACAACAATGTAAGGAAATCAGACCCGTCTGCTTACGACCAACAAAATACAGAAAGAATACAGTCAGTTCCAAATTAACTAACACCAAATTGATGGAAATTAATTAATATAGAAAATTACCTAAGAAATTACGAGACAGTGTGACATCATCCAGACCCCGCCAACACTTAGGTGTTTGCAAAATGAATATTTTGTAATTAATAGAATAAAGAAAATATGAATAGTATTAGACTATTCTGACCTAACTAATTGAATAAATACATTAAAATGATGTAGGGATATGACAGGCAATATTAAAAGCTTTAAATCTATTTATTGCTCGTTTAGGCGCTCCGGCTCAGGTGGCTCAGGGCATCAACTGATGTCACTGCAGTCCCTCTGACCGGGAGGTAATAAGTTTCGAGTCCCAACGATGCTCGAATTCAGATGCAGTTTTAGAAGGAGAATTCTAATTTCCGTCTGCTCTGATCGTTAGTTTTCCGAGGTTCCTACGATCAAACACGGCTTATGCGGTACAGTATCCTAACAAACGGGCCTCGGCGGGCGCGTGATAAATCATTCCTCTTCCATGTCCTATCCTCACCTCTTACTTACACACACTTACACTTACATGCACTACACTACCACATAAGTCGGGAGCTTAAAGCTTCTTCCAGCTGGGGAGGTTTCCCGTTGGTGGGAGGTACTTGGATGAGGAGACTCCCGCATGCCGGATCTCATCTTTCTCAGCCATCTCCCGTTATAAAGAATGCATTATACTTATGGGACTATTAATCTTATCAGTTGACGCGCCCAGAATCACGAAATGATAAATAAAATAGTTTAGGCGCGAGAGCCGGATGGTTCAGCGAAGAACACACTAGGCGACTGCGCTGGTGAGATAGTGCCAGTTAAACATGTTGTTCAGCAGCGCACTTAACACCAGGAGGCAGGAAATACAGTAAAGTGCATCGCCTATCGTTACTATGATACCACTGGATACAATTATTGAAGGCCGTATATGCGGTTTAGTATTCTCGCAACTTTTTTGAACGATGGATTGAATAAATGCGGGTAAAGTGGGAGTATTAGTTACGAAATCGACCACTAGATTTCATAAAGTAATGTCAATCTCTGGAGAATCAGTCATGCCTTCGCAACTTTCTCAATAATTTGTATTCTAACTTAATCAGGAGTTCGAGGTATCTCATGTGATGGATCTTGACCTACTTCAGCCATTCCTCCCCCTCGTAGTTTTTTTTGTATTGACGGGTGTTTTAATTAAAATTCATTTGACGTCGAATAGGAGGGTATAGGAGGTGTCATGGAGAGAGAATAGGGGAGAGATGAAATGGTACGGTGGAATGGGCTAAGTCGACGGCATGGGCTTCTAATTGTCGTGTTTCCTTATGTCGTGTTTTGTCACATCTAAGTCGGTTTTGATCAAAATAATTTTGCCCACTGGTCCAGGTTACACCACAGCTGGTATCAACCGTGTGTTCTAGTAATAAATAAACAGTGAAGAAATAGCTGTACAGGTAACTGTAAATATTAAAATAAGTGATGGTGAATATTAGCGAGAATTGTGAATAAAACTCTAAAATTTGAATATGTGATCAAAAGTTCATTACTTAAGAAGAGACTGATAATTAGAAACCCATTGCTGGGAAATATAATTAGTCATAGAAATAAAGCGATGGTTAAAATTAACAAAACAAATGCAGAAAGTAAGTAAAGAACGTAGACAAAGAGCTCTTAATTACAAAAACACTTCTCCCATTCTATCTTACACAGGTACTAAGACACTCAATATCACTCTCACATATAGACTAGAATAACAACAATGCGTGCAAGATTACTCTCTTACAAATATTGTGCAAACGTTGCTAAATAAAACGCTCTAGCTTTCCAAACCCATAGGAAGACATTGCGACAAAAAGTTGCTTCAGATGATGTTACAAAGATTCGCGGCATTTAATATGGCTGGCCCACGAAGACCCGGGCACCTTGCCACTGGGCGCGGTTGAGGTGGACTTCGAGGGTTCGAGGATTGCCAATCACCAAAGGCTCCGTTCTGACCCCGTCCCGCACCTTCTTACTTTCCCGTATACGTACGCATATAAGGAGTAATATACGTAGTATAGGGAAAGTTATGTAATGCTACGCGAAAAAAACAGCAGTTTTTCGGCAGAACAACTACATTGCCGCGCACGGATAATGAACTAGTGGTGCTACAGAATGGCACAGACTTTCCTGAATTAGTTTTCTATTCCTTTGGTCACCCCTAGCTTGCATCATAATTTTGCTAATTGCCATCTATCGCCGCCCAAAGAACTTTTTTTAATTGTCTTAATTTTTCGATTTCCTTATAGTAGAACGGAAATATTATGTTAAGAATATTAAAGGGCAGTAAAAACCTTATCTGGAAATTTTCTTTGAAAAATTTGGGGCCGTGTTTAAGAAAATGGCGTTTAATCCCTACTGTAAATTCAAATTTTGAAGCTCTTTATTACAAAACATTTTTGATTTTTCGAAAATCTTCATTAGAAGTTATTTGAAGCGTTTTAACTCACATATATAATAGTGTTTACAAATCGTTGGAAATGTGCATATTAACTGGATTAATTGGATTTTCCTTAACTAATTAATTATTCGCGTAATTAGAACTAATTCAACAACGATAATGAATTATTTCGCAATAAAACTGCGCTATCGACTTCACTTCCGACATCCACCATTTATATTTTATTGCTTGCGTCCATATCGACATCTTTTGTTCCTTTTCACGTTATCTTAATTTCCTTTCTGATGGTCCCAACCTAGGCCAGAATAAATCATCACATCACAAACTGTGAAAATGTAAAACACACGGCAGAGTAAATCAAAATCCAAAGCGATGATGACATCAGGGAGATTGTTTACCATTGGGGTTCCCAAAACTCAAACTGTAAAACAGGCCTACTATACGGAGGTTTTGACAACTTTTCGCTTACAGGTGCGGAGGCGACGGCCCGAACTGTGGGGAGATGGTTCACCAAGACAATGCACCGGCACTCACCACCCTCTCTGTAATAAAGTGTCTGATACAGAACATCCTCCGCACTCGCCAGACCGTGTGACCCGTGCGACTTTTGTTATTTCCAAAAATATAAACTGCTTTGCAACGGATCAGGGTTGAGACCGTAGAAGCAGTTAAAGAAAAACCATGGAAGCTCATGAACAATCTTCAAGAAAACATATTCGCTATTACTAGAAAGTCGATCAGTTGATATTTCTAACAACTAGTAGCAAAGCGTGATTTGATATCAAAGCGGACAATGGCCGAATGTGTCTTTTGGAAAAGTTGAAATTCTAAACAACACGAATTTCACATAACGGAGCATACGGATGAAACTTTGATAAAATCGTATAATTTACATGCCAAATAATTGAAGGAGAAGAGCCGAAGAAAATTCCCGGAGACGAGGTAATAGAAAAACGATGGAAATAGTGGAATTCGACGGAAACGATGGAAAACGACGAAGTAACGGACCTGTTAGTCATGACGTTTACAAACGAGCAGTTTCTTGCCTGACGGAAAATAACTAAAGCTGCAGATCTAAGGAATACTTTGCAAAAAAGTCAAGAAGGACAGGGGAAATATAAACTGACCACCCTGAAAGCTTAGCAAAATTAGAAAAGGAAGACCATGAATTTGTTGAAGATTACTTAGTACGAGCTAAAGGCATTGCCTGTGAGATTAATGAATTAGGGGCACATATATAAGATGTACCATGATGTAACACATACTGAATGGACTGCCTGAGACGGATAGTAAAATCACGACAGCTTTGTTAGCGAACTCTGAAACTAATTTTGAAACGAACGTTTCACTTATTACGAGAAGAAATATATAAAATTGCAAATGACCAAAGATACAAATGCAAACAGGGTAAGAAAAACGCGCGAGATGACTTTCTTTGGATGTAGGAATATGGGACAAAAGTCGAAAGATAGCTGGCACAAAAAGGCGGAGCAACTTACAAACAAGACTGTGAGCAAGGGAAAATCAACAAGTCCGGAAGGAACATCTGTGATATGGAAGGCCGTGTAAAGGGCTCTTGTGTTACAAGCAAAGGGGCTGTTACTAAAGTGAATATAGAACGAGTCCTTCCTGTTACAGATCTGGAGACTAATCTACTTTCTGTTTCAAACATGGTTACTAAAGGAAATAATATAGTTTTCTACAGCTCTGGGGTAGAACACGGTATGTTGATGTCGAGTGTGTCGTTAGTCGAAGAAAAGTTCATCTTTAACATGTAAATCAGCGATAGGGTCAAATCTATATGTAGAGACGAGAGAATAAATAATGGAAGAGAAAAGAACGGGATTTATAGAAACATGTTTTTAATCGAAGGCAAAAGTGGAAAATTTATGGCACAGGATGCTGTGTCATATTAACTATACTTTTATAGATGTGATGAAGAACAAAGGATTAGTTCGCGAACGCTGAAATTCAAGATGTTATTTGCGATCAATGCTTATGCGGTGAGTTTTCGTGGTTGCCTTTCGCGAACGTGTCACAAAAGACCTCATATTATAAATTATTAACACTATTTGTCGACTTGTATCGCGTCACCATCCTTAGGAAGTAGTAGATATATGTTAACCATAGTTGACGACTATAGCCAGAGACGGGAT